CTCTCTCTCTCTCTCTCATTCTCTTCCTCTTTCTCTCTCTCTCTCTCTCTCTCTCTCTCTCTCTCTCTCTCTCAGTTCTCGCATCCCTCCCATCTCCCAGCAGCCTCGCAGGCAGGGCGTCGAGCCACCGCTGCTGTTACTGCCGACTCTGCTGACCTCACTCGAACACAAATATTCTTTCTAATGCGCTTGTTTATCGTGTCGGTTGTAAAACTGCGGCAGTTTTGGCTCGCGTGCGTGCGTGCGTGCGTGCGTGTATGAGTATCTGCTTGCATTCGCGTCCGCGGCCCCGTGGAGAGTTTATTTGAGTTTGCTTCGCATCTTTTGTCGAGATCTAACGCGCTTCCTGTTGCTGCTACTGCTGCTGGTGCTACTGCTGCTGCTGTTACTGCTGCTGCTGCTACTGCTGGTGTTGCTGCTACTGCTACTGCTGCTACTGCTACTGCTGCTGCTACCGCTACTGCTGCTGTTGCTGCTGCTGCTACTGCTACTGCTGCTGTTACTGCTGGTGTTGCTGCTACTGCTACTGCTGCTACTGCTACTGCTACTGCTACTGCTGCTGCTACTGCTACTGCTGCTGTTACTGCTGCTGTTACTGCTGGTGCTGCTACTGCTACTGCTGCTGCTGATGATGATGATGGTTATGATAGGTCTATATATTATAGATATTCCCTTCCACATAACACACGATGTGTGTGTGTGCGTGCGTGCGTGCGTGCGTGCGTGCGTGCGTGCGTGCGTGTGTGTGCGTGAGAGAGACCTACGTCGTCACCTTCAGCAGCTAGCGGCCGTACTATGCGTGACGCTCACATCACGGAGCAATCGCCTTATTAGAGCCCCCCATGAGATCCTCCTCTTCTTCTCTCTCTGCATTTTTTTAATTTTATTACAGCGCGCATGAATAGCGTATTTCGCTGCATTACGCGAACAGCGAACATTATTGTCGTTAATTACCACTCCGTAGCTAATCAATACGAATCTACACCTAATTAAAGCTGATCCTCCAGCGTTAAGGGCCCCATATGCCACTCAGTTGTCGTCGTCGTAGTTAAAGAGTTGTCGAGCGTTGCTGCTGTTGTTGTTGTTGTGTGATAAGTAGCACGAGTATGATGACTGAGTGATGGTGAGAGCGTGCGCGTGTTGCTGTGATGACCGTGATTGTAGTCTGAATATCACAGTACCGTACACACTGTACACACGGTACTACTCTACTACCGTACACACTGTACTACTATACCGTACTACTGTACACACGGTAGTTGCACCCTTCTCGCTACGGCAAAACCGCGTGTTACTCTCAGAGTACACACTATATACGTACGTGGAATGAAACACTGTGTACGCTGTAGTGTATCGCTTATATAGAGATTTAAATAAAACGATATAGTATATAGCGTATTTAGCTTAATATATCAACTCGCTTATAGTACGTTGTACGTATGTACGGACGAAAAATCATATATCATGTATCATATAAATATTCTACGGTAATGTCGCTACCCTACACTAGTGTTCATTAAACTCATACTCATATATCATGTATCATATACATTATTCAGGGGTAGAAATTAACTTTTGAACACGGGAGTCCAACGGACTCCCGACCCTCAAAAAGAGGGAGTCCGCAGCAAAATAAGGGAGTTCGCAGTTTGAAGTTCAAAATTAAAGAATATTAACAATAACGCATGTGCTTATTTTGAAGATTCATGCGGTTGCACGTCTGCCCAATTTTCCTTGGACATTAGCTGAAAAAATACAGTAATTCAGTGAGGACGTGCTCTGAAACGAACTAGTTAGTATGGCAGTTTTTTCAGTGAGTCACACGGACTCCTGCATATGTCAAATCAGGGAGTCCGACAGTAAATCAGGGAGTATTTGACTCCGGACTCCCGTTAATTTTGCACCCTGATATAGCGTATTTAACTTAATATATCAACTCGCTAATAGTACGTTGTACTTATGTACATACGAAAAATCGTCTGGATATAACGAGGAGAGAGGGGGTCCATGCGCGCGGGAGAGAGGGGGTCCATGCGCGCGGGAGAGAGGGGGTCCATGCGCGCGTGCCCCGTCTCTCTGTCTCTCTGTCTCTCTCTCTCTCTCTCTCATTCTCACTCTCACTCTCTCTCTCTCTCTCTCTCTCTCTCTCTCTCTCTCTCTCTCTCTCTCTCTCCCTCTCTCCCTCCTCCGGTTCCTCTAGTTCCCATGGCCCCTCGCTGTGCGGCACTTTGTACCACCTCCTGCTGGCTGGTGGTTTAGTTACGGCGACGTTTGGTTTGCCCACCGGCTCGCTCCGTCGGTACCTTTTACTGATGCCGCGCTACACTCGCTGTGGTAGCGCCGCCGTGGAGGCGCGGTAGCCACTCTCGGCTGCGGCGGCCGGGAAGCTTGAGTTAAAAGCCCGGCTCTCCCCACCCCCGTATAGCAACCCCCCGGGGGGAGGGAGGGGGGGACTCGCGTAACAGGTGAACCATCTGTCAGCGCTAGTAGTCGCCTGTGTTGCTCCTCTCTCCTGTGTGTCTGTTCTCTCTTTCTTTCGCGTAACTCTCTCGCTCTTTCTTTCTCTCGTTCTTTCGATCTCTGGCTCTCTCTCTCTCTCTTTCTCTCTCTCCTTTCTTCTCCGCTCGCCTCCTCTCTCTCTCTTCCTCTCTCTCTCTCTTCTTTCTTTCTTTCGGTTCTTCTCTTTCTCTCGTTCTTTCGATCCATAGGCCTCCTCTCTCTCTCTCTATCTCTCTCTCTCCTCTCTCTATCTCTCTTCTCTCTCCTTCTCTCTCTCTCTCTCTCTCTCTCTCTCTCTCTCTCTCTCTCTCTTTCTCTCTCGTTTCTCTGTCTCTCTCTTCTCGCTCTCTCTCTCTCTCTCTCTCTCTCTCTCTCTCCTCTCTCTCTCTTCTCTCTCTCTCTTCTCTCTCTTCTCTCTGTCTGTTCTCTTTCGCTCGCACGCCACGCTCTCTATCTCTCTCTCCCTTCCCTCTCTCTCTCGCTCCCTCTAGGCGTGTTTGGTGAGTGAAATCGACACGACTTTCTTTTATTCGTTCCCGCCTTCGGCCATCGGTGACTCGGTGACTCATTGCTCGCATGCGTGCGTGCTCGTTTTTTTTCTGTGCGGCAATTTAAAAGCTGCCTTCCACTGAAATCTACGAAGCATCTTACTTAAAATAGTGTTCTATGCAAGCCATTTGTACATAAACATTATATTTTGATCAGATATATCCAACACAAATGCTTCCTTGTTCCGCGTTAGGATGTTTACATCGAGTAAAGCGTCCCGCGCTTTTGTGCGGAGTATTATTCACGCAGCGACTCCGCGTGACTCGACCTCTACGCGTATAGATCCGTGCGTCATCAGGGCATGCAATATAGTGCGTAATTAAGCCGAAATTCTTATAATTTCACTAATATCTCCAACGAAAGTAATTTCAAGTAGGAGGTTATTATATCTCTCAATGCTAGTCATTTTAATACTGCGTTTGATCCCAAATGCGCGTGTCTGTTGCTGTCAATGCTAGTTCATTTTAGCGTTGATTGTAACGTGTGTCTGTGCTTGCCTGTTTTGCAGATCAACGGTATCGATGTACATACGCGCGACCAGGCAGTGAAGTTGTTCTCCGAGGACCGCCCAGACATTACGCTGCTCGTTGCCAGACCTCAGTTCCAGGTAAGAACCCCTTTCCCCCACCACCACCCAACTCACCTTAGTCACCCAACTCACCTTCGTCACAAAACTCAACCTGCTCACTCACTCACCTGGTCACTCGCATCACCTTGTCACCAACTCACCTGTCACTCACTCACCTGGTCACTCGCTCACCTTGTCACCAACTCACGCTGGTCACTGCACTCACCTGGTCAACTCACTCACCTTGTCACCAACTCACCTGCTCACTCACTCACCTGCTCACTCACTCACCTGGTCACCAACTCACCTGCTCACTCACTACCTCACACACAAGGTGCGCGTGATGACGCGAAACACGCCAGCTGATGCATTCACCTGTCCGTGTCGTAATCAGCTGATGGACGTTCATCTACTGGTGATCGTCTGCACGGCTGCGTCGTGCGTCCGTGCGTCCGTGCGGTTCGTGCGTGCATGGCCGTGCGTGCCGTGCGTTCGTCCGTGCATGCGTGCGTGCCGTTCGTCCTGTGTGCGTGCGTGCGTGCGATGCGGGTCGTCAGTGCTGTGCGAGGTGCGGCGTGTTGCGATGCATGCATGCCTATCTATGTGATTAATGTGGCACGAATGTTGCTTGCATCATTTAAAAGGGTGTTTAACCCTGCAGTTTAAACAGTATGTAGTTAGTTCGGCTAGTACTATTACCCGTAGCCTATGCTAAGGCGATCTAATATATATCTTGGAGTTTAACCCCAGTAATTTTAACCAGTGGGCCATTTCTAGGGGTCCGATTAGTGCTGCCTTAGTATCAAGAGCGTATTAGGAGTTGTTTTAGTATTGTTAGTATCTATATGTTTATTCATGCGCTATGAAGGCATCGGCATGGCAAATATTAACCTTGTCACAAACATGCACGGACTGGCACATGCTGCATACACTACTGCGCCTACTGCATATACTGCGCTACACTGCACATCTGATTATACACGCCATCTCAAATGTGCCGCGCATGTGAGCACTAGGAGGCCTTGTAGCCAGCTAAGTTGGATCGAGAAGGAGATAGAACAGTGTAGCTTGCTATGGCGTGCCGACGCCTGCCTATCTATCTAATCTATCTATCTGTCTTAATCTCTCTCTCTCTCTCTCTCTTTCGTCTCTCACGTATATATATTAATAATATATATATTAATATATATAATAATAATATATAATATGTATGTACGATAGCAAAGACTCGTCGATTTGCATCGAGGACAGCACCCCTGCGCATAAACACTCGCTTCTGAGTGATCACGCTAACAAAATATACTAGGCGCACGCCTCGTCGCCCTGCCTGCCCCGTGATCACCGCTGGCTGCTGCTGCCCCTGGCGGCGGCGCTCGTTAAGGCCATGGGGAGAGTAATTATACTAGAGGAGATACATGCTATCGATTAGCGCGATACGAGCGTTACGCGGAGTGTCTCTGATTCGGACTCCGAAGAAAGGTGAAAATAATGCTTCCGTAAGATTTCCGCCATGGTTTCGTGCGACGCCCATGGACGACTGCCCGATAGGATTTGCGGCATGTGCGCGTGAGGTAGCCATTGCATTCTTGCAATGATGAGATTAAGTCTAATAATTTATATATTTATGGGTGTCTTATCGGACCGTTATAAAAGTCTTAAAAGTCTTATGTTGCAGTGAGATAATTATTGTTTGCTGTGGTTAGAACACCCTTGTAGTCTCCTGTGAATGAGACAAGCCCTTGTTTGGTTGTGATGATATAGCTCTTGTAGTCTATTGATGAGATATCTATCTATGCTGTGCATGAGACAGCCCTTGATATGCTGTGGTTAGACAGCCGTTGTATGCTATGCCTTAGACAGCCTTGTATGCTGGTGGTTAGCAATATAAGGCTCTCTAGGCTACTTGACGGCAAGGCGGCGTGGTTGCGTGGTAGGGGGCGTGTTACTGATTCAAGTTATGTGCTGCAGTCGCTGGGATTCCCCCTGTGAATTGCAGACCTGAGGGTTGGCCAGGTGGAGGGGTTTTAGCAGAAATAATGCTTACTACAAGGCATCTACATCACAATGTAAGCTGATGTAACAACTGTGCGGCCTCGAGCAGAGGGAGCGGGGAGCTGTGTGAATTGGCAGCTCCGACTAAACTCAACTAAAGGTTTACGATATTTAAGTCTGTCAGTGCGCGCATGACATAAGGGCACTGCTTATATTCACATCCGTTACTTACCGTCTGCTCCAAGCTACGCGTTTGGGCAAGCTTAAAAGCAAAGAAATTCAAAAATCCTGGGAGTGGTAAACTGGCTTAATTACCTCGTTCTCTCTCTCTCTCTCTCTCTCTCTCTCTCTCTCTTCTCTCTCTCTCTCTCTCTCTCTCCTCTATCTCTCTCTTCTCTCTTCTCTCTCTCTCTTCTCTCTCTCTCGCGCTCTCTCTCTCTCTCTCTCTCTCTCTCGCTCTCCTCTCTCTCTCTCTCTCTCTCTTCTCGCTCTCTCTCTCTCTCTCTTCTCATCTCTCTCGTCTCTCTCTCCCTCTCCATCTCTCTCTCTCTCTCTCTTGCGCTGTCATGGCTTCGTACGTTTTCAAAAGTCGCAACCCCGCAGCAGTTAGTGCCATCTGTATCAACCACACAAATCAGCTTGATTCTCTCATGATCATGCTGTAGGACAAAGCGCAGCATTCATTCTTGTCTAGTCGGCGGTGCCACATGGAGCATGGGTCAGCAGGGAGCATGCCCGGGATTAGCAGCAGCGAGCTAAACACTATGGAGCGCGTTTCATTAAATAGCTGTCTATATACGCTGGCTGTGGGGGTTAGAGCGCTGTGCATGACAGCGCAGCACAGATGTACGACACATTGCGGCTAGCTTACATGCTAGAAATCAGTCCCGGGAACATGGGGGACATCACACACACACACACACACCACACTCACAAACACACACGCACGTCACGCACGCACCCACACAGCGCACACAACACACACACACACATACACACACAACACACACACGCACGCACACACGCACGCACGCACGCCACGCACGCACGCACGCAACAGCACACACACACACTAACTGTGGGATGTTCTTCTCTCTGTTGTCATTCTACATCTCTATGTTATGCTAATAAGGACTCTGTGGGTTCACCACGTACAACTAATCGTGTCCACCATATAGCGCACGCGCGAAAGTAACGCTGAGAGTGTCGAATGGCCACCCAGTGTACTGGCCGGAACGTATCCTGGTAACTATCTAATATTGCCGCGACTCCGTACCTCGCCATACATCCACTAAACGAATCTAGGGAGTCGCCTACGCCTACTCCCTAACCCTAACCCTTAACCTTAACCCAACCCTAACCCTACCCTAACCCTTACCCTAACCCAACATATCAAAATATGTACCAGGGTACGTTCCGGCAGTACCCTGAGCCGGGACATAGACCTATGAAAAAAGGAACGCCATACACTCCAGCGCATCCAAACGTCCACGCGAAATCCCGACAGTTACCCGTATGCCACCAAAAGACAGAAAACATCAATTCCGTAAAATAACCGATCAGACGTGGATGCGTTGGAGGAGGGGGAGGTGGGTAGTGGGACACGTGGAAAGGATTTGTGCCCTCAATTGCGCCTGCTAGGTTCCCTGCTCGTGTGCTCTGCTGTGGATTGGTTATGCACGGCGTGTACGATCGTATATATACGCTTGTGTTAGCCGCTCACCCAGCTCATTTCGCTCGGTCGCCACACGGTTTAAGCCCGTGGCGGCCTGCGCGTTAGCGGCTATGCCAAAAAAGAAAGTAGCTTCCTTTTCAATACGACCGAACACAGGCTGTATTTTTTTTTCGCGGCGCGATAATCGGCAACCTTGCAGCGCCGGCAATCTCTTAAAAATGGGCGCGCTTCTGCCGAGCTTTGTGTTTCCCGAGTTAGGAACGCGCTGCTTTCTCATTTGCGGCCCTGCCAGCGGCAGTGGCCGGCCGGTGTGTACGAGAGAGGAATTCCGTACGAAGCTGAGTCCGGCGCGTCTTGTGTGAAGAAGCACTCGATCAGATATGTGCAATATTGCGGCCTTCGGACGACGGACGTCTGCGCCATCGCTCCGCCGCAGCGCGTTTCGGGTCTCTTTGAACTTAAAGTGCCGGCGAAAACTGCTGTTGACCTTTGACGTCCTGGCGGGCTTGAGAAGCAGTGCCAGGGTCGTTGGTCGTGCCTCGTTGCAGCGTTCGCAACCTTGGCTTAACTCGACCTTTACGTCGCATGCGTCGTCGGCGCCGCGCGTCGTCGTTTCTTGTGGTTTATGGCTGGATATCCTGAGTGAAGACATCTCTGG